TTTCGTTTTAACCATTTCGTGCAAATTGTTGTTTTACCATAAAACGAATTCCTAAATCAACAAAACATCGTTCGGCGGAAAACATTTCAATGCCAACATGGCGTATAAATGCGCTACAATTGCCTAATATAGTACTTTTGTTCAGTTCATGGCAATATACAATTGGCTGACATTGCTTAGCATGACCCTGAAGACGGATATCTTCAATGCAGTCGGAAACGTCGTTCTTGTGATCGGTGATCGATAACCGTTTTCATTGTTCAGTCAAGTTGAAGAAATCCAGCACAGTTTCGAACATGTTACGCACTCCATCAAAATGGCCAGAGTAAAGAAGAAGAAATCAAAGGGAAAAGTCAAAAAGACAAGCCTTAGAGCTTACTTTGTCATCTGCTCGAACAGACCTTATTAACGAATTATGCTGTGCATGCAGTAAACATGATTTCTTTCAGGTGTCAGCGAATACTTCGTTTAAAGAAAAAATAACTGTGAACGTTATTCTCCAAATGCCATTAAGTAAGGTAAACAGATATAGGACAAATATATCTGAAAACCATCTGAAAGGTTTGAGACAGGAGCCAATTGAATTAAACTTTATTTTGCCATCAGCCAACAAAAGATCATAATGTTTTTAGATGTACGAACAGTAGTGCAACAAATCCAAATGCGAATCGGACCGCAGAAATATATGCCACGAGCCACTATAAGGATGGAAAACATCTAACGACTTGTAATCGTTGAATCTAACAAAAATCTAAACCCACGTAAAACAGATGAGCTTAATAAGCAAGAAATTAGGCTAAGGCAAATTGCTCCCATGATTTGAATCATTTGCATTAACTAGTCTCGACAAGTCTGTTGGTATCCTTTTAGTAAGTCAGAATATCAACTAAAATGTAGCCTCGAAGTTATACAAACAATTCAGAGCAGATGTTCAACCCTTTCATAAGACCTGTACACTGTCTCTTAAAATGTCACTGCCTTATAAGAAAACACAGACTACGAAGCACTACGCCCAACATCTTCCTCAGTGAACTAAAAGGCAGTGAGGTAAAATCAGCTCTAACGTCTGACTTGCAAGGGCAGTTCAAAAATATTATTTCCTCACCTGAAGCTGTTGTAAAAATATTAACATTTTACTATCTTAAGTGACAAAAAAATACAGAGATCCGATGGGCTAAGCTGCAGCAAGTATCACGATAGCTCATGCATTGCGAAGAGGTTAAAAGAGAAGGTATTAATCGAAAGTGCTTTTGACATAAGCTGACTTGGCAGTTTGATTACAGAAATTTTATAAATTACATAAAACAAAAACTGGAGTAATTCGTTCGTGCGCTGGGGTCACAATCATAGAAAAGAGTTTACTTATAAGCAACACAAAAGATACCATAGTCAGTCCAGGGGCATTCTTCAAGGTAGGGGTGACTAGGTAGTTTCAGAGCCAGAAAGCAAGCTTTTGGTCCGTGCTGCTGGTTTAACAGTTTTTGGGCGACAAGGTCAACGAGGTTCATTCAATCCATGCAGAGTTCATAATTTTCGCAGGATTTGATGCTTAATGCTTCTTTTATACGCCTATGTATCCGATGTCTCTTTCATGATGCTGCT